AAGAGGGGGATGAAGAGGGAGAAGAGGAGGAAGAAGAAGAGGAAGAGGCAGGCAAGGATGAAGGTGAGGGTCCACATCTGTCCCTCCAGTTCTCAGAGTCACTCCCATTGCATGTCTTCCCCGTCTGAGCAGCCCGTGACTGGAAGGAGACACAGATAAAGTCTGGAGTTTGTATGTTCTCATGGTCCCTATCTGGGTTTTTTTTTTACCACATTTCAAAAACAAGATGTGACTAAATTTCCCATAGATATAAATGTGAGTGTGAATGATTGTCTCTCTCTATTTGTGATTGTCTCACCCAGTGTCAACTGGGAATGGCTCTAGTTCCTTCTACCCGGCACTCTCTACAGAATAAACAGTTTAGATAATTGATTGATGGAATTTGCTAGTCCATCACTGGTTACTGAGCAGAGAGCGCCCATTCAGGAGGCTTAAGAAGTAGGGGACATGAGCTGAAACAGCTCAGGTAAAGAGATTACTGAGGAGTGGCTGTGTTGACCAGAGAGATAGCATCAGACTCCCTGTTACTGAACACATGCACTGGCAGTGTTTACCATACAGTGAGATAGATGCTTCAGACTGTTAGAGAACAATACCAATAAATGAGACCCTGTTTGTGGGCCACAATAGGGGTGCTTGTTTCACCGCACTGCAACAAAAACACCTTGGGCAGCTCGAAAGGATTCAGCTGGTTCAGCATGTAAGTCAAGTCAAGCAACTGAAGCTCAAACGAACAGTTAAAATTAATCAAGTGATAAATTGTTTCATTTCTTTTTAGCCAGAAATGAAGTTAGCATTAAATTCACGCGTACCTGTTGCTGGCTAGTGCTCAGGTACGGCTTGTAGCTGCGGCGGCTGATGTTGCGAAGCTCTTTGACAGCCTCGGCTGGCATGGACTTGGAAAAGCCGAGACCACTCCAGGTGTCTGTGGGTGTCCGGACCTCAGTGACCACAGGCTTCCTCTGCATGGCTGACATAACATACACAGGCACAGAGAAGAAAAACACACATTAACACATGCCTTAAATCGTGATGCAAAGACAAGCTGTAAACACAATACTGACACATTATCAACTGATAAAGTGAAAATGGCAAGCCTGTTAGCAAAACTTGCTTATTTATATGCACAGTAGATATTCACTCTCTTTTTAGATCTGTTTTGCTCTCCACTAACTCATGAGGGAAATATTTGGCTCTTTAGCTGCTAGATGCTCAACTATGCTCACTATCTAGACACTAACTTTGTGTGTCTGCTGTTTGGTGCATGCCAGTTAGTGTATTCTGGGTTTTTAGAGCTTTTAGCTAAAAATGAGCTGCATGCTCATGGGAGCTGTATGAGTGAACCAAAACAATAAAGATGTAGGTCATAAAATTGAGCAATAAGCTAAAATATGCTAAAATAAATAAATAAATAAATAAATAAATAATTTAAAAATTATAATAAAAAAAAAGCTCAGTGCTCATATCAAGTATGTCCATCATGAAAATTCATTGCAGGCTTTCCAGGTCTCCTTTGATTTCTAAATCTAAAACGGGGCTCAGGTGTTAAATAATAAATCAGTAAAACAGTACTTCTCCACGCCAACATGTGGCACACTTAATAAAGCTCATATTGCTGAGACTGAGTCAAATACGCACAGTCAAATGACAAACAAGTGACCCTGGGCCTCTTTTGGCACCAGGACAGGATCCATGTGTGAATGTGCGATAAAAAGTGTAACAACACTCCACGGAGTGCAATATCAACGACATTATTACTGGTGGGCTGTCATGTGTGTGTGTATGTGTGAATGAAGGTCCCATTCATATACTGGCATATGAGTGCCTTAATGACTGTGAGGCAGATGGCCCATTCAAACTGCTAATTCATAATCCCATAAAGCAACACTGAGGGAATATAGTTCCATTTGGCTGCAGAGCTTCAGTGTATCTCTCATTCTGCATAATGAATGAGGCAGTAGTTTCCTATGTGTTCTGTATGTCAGTGCATGTGAGCATATAAAGGCACACACACAACTGTGTATAGATACATGGGTGTGTTGTCTGCATTGTGTGTCTGCCATGTGAATTACGAGGGAGTGCCAGTGCTACTCTATTATAACGTTGGCACAATGCAGCCCATAAACAGGTCCCCTTCATCAGTCGTCTTGGCAGTGAGCAGCACTGAAACGGGCCCCCTCTATCAAATCTCTGGCTCTGCTCAAGATATTAATGTGTTGCCACAATAACATACTTGAATAAAGTAAAAACGGGTACTTCATCCCGACTACTCATATGAAATTAAATCATTTTATAACTACATCTTAACCAAATCGTTTGCATTTTTACAACAAACTGAAAAAAATGGCTGTTTTAAGATCTAAATTCTTCCTGTATTCTGTGAAAAAAACTAACAACAATCTACAGTAAGTCTAGCATTGTGTGCCAAAATCCTCATATATTTATCTGCAGTATACAGCAACTATACTGTAGATTACAAAAAAAAAAGAAAGAAATGCTTGTTTAGTAGTGGCCCCAGTTGTTGCTGCAGAATCCTGTGCAGTGAAATATTAAACATTTAGTAGCACTAACCTCTAGTTGCCAGCAGTTTCTTCTTCTCGTAGTCATAATCCTATAAGCACAAACAAGAAATAGAGTAGGTAAATAATGCATGAAATTGAATTACGTTTTTTTTCTGGCTACCAAGGAGAGGCAGGGGGGACCTAATTTACAGTGGGAACAAACACTCACATGAAACAATACTTCCTGCTGGTGTGGTGGTAAACAAACACAAAAATCTGCTCTCAAAATCAAAACTCACTGGAGTCAGGGATGTGCAAATCAATAGGACATAACACCAGAAATAAATTGTTCCAGCTATTTTCAGTCTAACCTGTCTTCTATAGTTGGCATAAGGTCAAATCAAATCAAATCAAATCAAATTTTATTTGTATAGCACCAAATCACAACAAAAGTCATCTCAGGACACTTTACAAAGTAAGGTCTAGACCTTACTGTTATCAATATTATTACATAGGGAAAACCCAACAAAATAAGAGAGCCGCACCACCCAAAGTGGCATGGATGCCGTCTCTGTTAATCAGACCAGGTTTTCCCCAAAATGTTTTCCAGTTATCTATGAAGCCCACGTTACATTCAACATGTTTGTTACCCTAAAAAGAAATGTGTTTTGGGGCAGAAATCTGAATGTAAACAACGAACTAGCCAGCTAGTTAGCTATTAGCTAACCCCACTAAATCATCCTCATGTCCATTACAGTTGACATTCGTAAAAGGGCTATTATTTTTTCTAACAAAACGTTTAGCTGAACTCTGACCCCAATTTATAATTCCTAACATGTTCATAAACAAGAAAATATATGATTACCATAGGTAAAAAAATTATATCTTAACAATATTTAACTTACCTTTTCTCTTTTCCTGGCATGTGTGTTTTGTTGCAGTCTCCATTTTGTCTCAGGATGAATACAAAGTTCCCCTCATCCCACCCAAACACATGACATATCATTGGAAAGGCCAGGATGTCCTCTTTTAAGCACATCAGGACTTAGTAGGATGGAGCCTTGTTATTAAGGGCTTTGTATGTTAGGAGAAGGATTTTAAATTCTATTCTGAATTTTACAGGGAGCCAGTGGGGAGAAGCTAATATGGGAGAGATATGATCTCTCTTGCTAGTTCCTGTCAGTACTCTGGCTGCCGCATTTTGGATTAACTGGAGGCTTTTTAGGGAATTATTGGGACATCCTGATAGTAAAGAGTTACAGTAGTCCAGCCTGGAAGTAACAAATGCATGGACCAGTTTTTCAGCATCACTTTGAGACAGGATGCTCCTGATTTTTGCAATATTGCGCAGGTGAAAGAAGGCAGATCTAGAGACTTGGTTTATGTGTGATTTAAAGGACATATTCTGGTCAAAGATGACTCCAAGGTTCCTCACAGTAGTACTGGAGACAAGAGCTATGTCATCTAAAGTAACTATATGATTAGACAGCAGATTTCTAAGGTTTTCAGGCCCAAGCACAATAACTTCAGTTTTGTCTGAAGTTGAGTTTAGAAGTAAGAAGTTGCAGGTCATCCAGGCCTTTATGTCTTTAAGACATGCTTGAAGTTTGACCAGCTGAAGGTGAAGTGATTTTACTCCTGTCTCTTCTTTCTCTCACCTCAGCCTTGGATGAGTCAGCATGAACATCCTGAGCCAGCGCCACGTCTCTTCTCAGGCTGTTCCTCCACTCGTTCCTTCCTCCCTCAGTGCCTGTGTTCAACAGTCTGGCACATTCAGGACACAAACACACAGGCTGTGATGGCTATATGCAACACTGAGTCGTTCCTTCTCCAGAGCAAGAGCAGCAACACTATAGGAGAATTTCATTGTCAAAATGCTAGCTAATTATATATTGTATTAAGGGAGACTTGTTCCATTAAAACTGCACAACACTACACCTTCTTCTATATTGTCTGGAACAACAAAAGCTGGGAATAAGAGACTCAGCAAAAAGCAGAATATAGACAATAAGCATTGCTTTGCTTAACTCAGCTCTCTGTTTTAGAAGGATCTGTGTGTATTAATCACAGTGAAGTGGCCAAAAACCTGTTTACAGTCATTATGAGCCTTCTGTCTAGGAAAGGTCAACCATATTTAAGTTATGACTTGGTTCTTGATTAGTTTAAAATTACCCATAACGTTAACATAAGCCCTCAGGGGACCGATGTAAGGCAACACAATTCTCTCAAAAGTGACAAAAACACCTGTGAATGCTCACCTGTATGATAGCGCCTGCCCTGTTGAATGGCGTCTGCCCTGGCCAATAACCTTTGTAATTTCAGGACCCTGGAGACTCCCTCTCCGACTCATCAAGCCCACCCTGCTGATGCTGTTGCTCACTGCATCACACACCTCAGTTGATGACATCACAACAACCTTAGAGCTCTCATCCTCTGATTGGACAGATTGATCCTCATTTTCTAGAATCTGAGGAAAAGGAGAGATGCCAGAGCTTGGTTGTGCTCTCTATTGCGGTTTAACAAAAGAAATTTACTGTGCACTGATAGAAATTTGACTAATCTTTGAAAAACCTTCTCCAGTGGCCGGCTGTCTGTCCCTTTCAGTCCTGTCCTCCCTTCATCAGCAGAAGGAGTGAGGCCTGGTGGAGGTGACAGCCAGGGTTTGGTACCAGTCAGTACCTCTAGAGTGGGAGCTGGCATAGGACCTGGTCAAATGATGGGCAGATGATGATAGTGAGTAAAAGATCAGAGTAGTGTGTATTGAAATACAGACAACAAAACACAAAAAAGACAATAAGCTTCCATTCAAAACTGAATCTGGAATATATGATTAGGTTGCCAGCCTGGTTCTGCTTCTTCTGTTTACTTTATTTCTATCAGTCGGCCACAATATCAGAGTAGTACCACAGCCATATCTCTATGTCTCCATGTCAACAGCATAATGGATCAAACCATCACACAGTATTTGAGGACACAGGAAGCAAAATGCCATGATTGGACTTTACTTACAGAAGTGTTACTGTTGCTGTTTTGGCTGTGCAATCTCCCTGTTGTGGGAAGCTCATATTAGCTGGTTTTATGAAATAATAAACATTATTATTACATAAATTAGCACATTTATTATTCTGTGTTAAAATGAAACTTGCAAGGTGTTTTTTTTTAGCTATCCTTCAATAGAAATGCAGTCTCTGTGCTGCTTTCAGTGCATTCATCTCAGTGTCCCCAGGCTGTATCTGTGGCAGGGAGGGGCAGGGTAGCAGTGTGCGCTGCTGTCTGCCACACTGACATTTTTGGCCAAAGTTGGAAATTATATTTTGACATTTGGATGGAAATACACCTTCACAGACACATACTGTTTATGTGTGAATCCTCACCCTGCTCAGAGAGACGAAGCTGCTGCAGCAACATGTTGAGCCAGTAGCTGGTCAGTCCGCTGCCGGCTAGCATGGGGTCAGAGGACATCTCAGTTACCTTGGCAGTCTGACAGGAATCCAGCCCCAGAAGCAGCCGTCGGGCCTCATAGAGGCAAGAGATGTTCCTTTCCAGACCTTTCACTACCGCTGACTGATAAATATACACCAATAAACAGTTTTACATCAGCATTCAACTCACCACAGTGACTGCAGGGGAGAATAGTTTTACATCCAAAATCAAAGTGAACATTCAAAAAATGTTTCAATAGATATTTTTTATTTATTCCAGTGTGTATGAAATAAGCAACCATAAACTCTGTAGCCATAGACTGAAAGTGAATTTAAACGACAAGACTGGTAGTCAACAAACCAACAACAATATCATTTCTTTTTAGATGGTGACTGAAACAATGAGAAAGCAGCAAAGCTACAAGGATAAAACTGTACCTTACTGGTCTGTTTTACTTTGGGCTTGACACTAATGAAAACTCCCAGGTTTTGCATCATCTGAGCCAGCTTACAAGGATCTGTCTCCCCATCTTCACGCATGTCAAACATCAAACACACAGGCAGACAGTCCTAGAAATGCACAAGACACATAATATCACACAGAATGTAAAATAACAACAACAACAAAAAACTTGTTGTGACAGCAGCAAAGAAACATTAAGCTCACACTGTGCATAGAAAGACAAGTGTATGAAACACAAGAATGAAAAATACACTTTGACATATGCAAGCAAAAAACAAGCACAATGTGCACCTGTTGCCTCTCAGCAATGATCTCTCATTATTACCAGAACAAAAATCCAAAAACAAAACACCTCACTGTACCATGAGCTGCTGCCGGGCCAGACACACGCCGTCAGGGCTGCCCTGGATGAGCAGTGAAGAAGGGCTCTGTGGAGCACTGAGGTCTGGGAGGATGATCTGGGTCTGAGTCTGGTGCATTACACTCAGGAAGTGGGCTCCGCTCTGACCCAACAGGAAGAGATGCTGCTGGGAGGTGACATCCAGCTGGCTGCTCACTATACCACCTGTAACCTCTGACCCCAGCAGCAGGTCCATCAGGATGTAGGTCGCCTTCTGTCAGGTGATAATATATATATATGCACCACATGATATTAAATTATATATGCTTAATAGACCTTATTTGAATGCACACTGACTGTAAGCTGAATTTAATTTCATGCCATGCTAACCTTGACAGCAGCTGCGTTGCCCTGCAGGCCCCAGATGGTGCAGCAGCTTCCGTAAAAGGAGGCCTGTGTCTGAGGCTGGGGTGGCACAGCCCTGAAGCTCACACTGACTCCCAGAGTTTGCACTACCTGCTGGATGAGTGGAGAGCCTGCATCCGGCAGAGCTTGAGGCACCAGACTGACTGGGAGGTCAAAGGTCAAGGATAGTGGTTGCAGGTCCTAGAACAAGACGGTAAATTATGTGATGAAGAGGAGACACAGAAGGGAGGAGAAAATGGAGAGATGGGAGATGAGGGCCACAACAGACAGGCAGCATTTTGATAAATATTCCTGTCTTCTGTGTGTCAGCCATTCCATTCATCACGTTATTGATTTCTATGTCTGACGGGAGTGTAGAAATTGACTCTGGGTAGTCTCTGCTCAGATTATACAGTTCTTACTCACTCTTATCCTCCTCCTGGCTTCCTCCACCCCTTCTATGGGCCCAGCAATGGAAACCTAATAAAAATTGAAAAAGTAAAAATAGTTTCTCGTTTTGGTTTTGTGGTCAAGGCAGCAGTTGGCGGCTCATTGTGTTGGACATTGTTACCTGGTTGCTTTTTTCTCCTGTAGCATTGTGGCGGTTGGAGTCAGGGAAATGAATGTGACAAGATGTAACCTCCATCACCTTTTTGATGTTTCCACCACCTTTCCCAATCACATGGGAATGCTCTGTATAGGCCACGTCCATCTTTAGAGTCACCTTGTTCACCTGGATTTATATACACAGTGGTGTCATTTGTCACTTTTAAAAGCTTAGCTGCCTTTTCATGGAGCAAACACAAGTTACTACACTGCTACTGCTTCACCTCAAAGGAAGTGATGTAGAAAATCCATTTATTTTAATGTAAATGTAGTTAGACTTTTTGTCATGACAAATGTACCAGCCCTCACCCTGGTTTCCAGCACTTCTAATATTTTCTTTTTAGCTTCCAAGACACTGGCTCTCTTCCCTTCCACCTTAACATGTGGATCTAGATTGAAACAGGAATGTCATTTATTTGAGTTTGTTACATTAAATGGATAACGGTAAATCATTTTGTGGTGAAAAACATGACAAGAAGCAGAAAAAACACAAATCCTTGAGAAGATATGATTGAGATATCAAGAGTTTGTCACCCTTCTTTGATTTGGCCCCAATCTTGAGCTTGGACGGCCATTTCACCTGAGTGTCGGTTTCTCGCATCACCTGTGGAAGCATGAATAATAGGTGAGAATGAAAAACAAAGACGGAGCTGTCGCTGTGTACCATAAAGATAAACGTAACACACACACACAAATCACAGCACATAGAAGCAGAACACACACATCCAGAAGGTCTAAGAATACAAAGCCCTATTTGCATTTCAAGGGCTGCAATTATCACCTCCATAAAACCAGTAATCATGGATGTGGAGTATGGAATAAATGTTTAAAAGGTTGCAGGGATGCTCTCACTGATTTACATTTAATCAAGAGTTTTTATGTACTGATGATTATAGATTGTTTTCACAAAATTTAAGTTTTAAGTTTCACTTACCCTCTCAAAAAACTCTTTGCCTGTCTCAACACCTCCATGCTTTGGATCTAAAAGAAAAGTGATTAAATTAAACAATCGTTCAAAATCCCTGCAGTGTGGTTTGCCATGATGTTTTAGCCAGTAGAACCATATTCATATGTTTACAGCACAGTAATGTTCAGTATTAGGCATCTGTGTAAAGTCAATATTTAAACGGTGACTTGGCTGAAATTTGCCAAGCAATGGGAACAAGAGGTTGCCGGGAACATAAACAATTTTAAAAGGCCATTGCTCCATGGTGACATTTACAGGGTATGGGAAGGACCCAGGAACGCCCTCACCCCCTCTCATCACTATGGGTTACGCTGGCCAGAGCTGAGGAATGGGAAAAGAACAGTATGGGGTGGAGAGAGAAGGTGGTGGTTGGGGGAGACAACTGCAAATTAGCCTAGAGACAACTAACCACATCAGTGCCTTTTGCTGACGCAAAGACCTCCCACATGACCAAAAAATTAAATACCAACTGCAAAATCAAGAAGGAATGTGTAAAAAAACACAGACCCTTCTCAAGTGCAGCATGACAGATTATCACCTAAAAGAATAAGATACAATATTTACTGCCTGACTGAGGCTGTTCAAACACATACAAAAGCACGCTCCAAGCTGCACACACAGTTATCAGAGCTGAACACGCTCAAGCACTTTCCTATCAAGATCCTGCGTGAGGACAAGCAGACAAACATCAGCCTCTATCTGCTGCAGTTGCACACTGTCAGAGAGAGTGTCTCCAGTAACACAGGGGAGGCATTTGTCTTAAACCTGCCAAGCAGCAGTAACAGAGGCAGTTGCCTTTGCTGCTTCCCAGACTGGAATGATAATAGAAAAAAGACTTCTGAATGCATAACCCATTGCAGGTCATAAATCATGATGATACAGCAAGAGGAGTATAATAGATGGCAGTTATACTGATGGGAACACTAGGGGTACAGCCAGCCGGAGGCTGTGACAGACACACGGGGTCAGGTAGCTAACAAGGTCTGGGAGGAGGTAAACACAGCGAGGCCATGACAGGCATCAGCAACAGAATAACTTTCAGAAGAAGCAGCTAATTGAGGAAAATGAGTTGATAACATTGCCAGTAGAAATCTGCACAGCCCAGGTGCACAGTACCAACTGTAATATGAAGACTTCACAAGTGACTCACCATACAACATGCTCTCCAGCTTCTTCCTGTCGATCCTGAACCTCTCCTCCACCCACTCTGGATCCAAACTCTGCCCTGTGCTCTCCTGCCCCAGCACAAGGTTTCCACTGCTATCCTCCTCGTCTTCATCCTCTTTTTCCTCCCTGTCGTGTCTGGCCTTGCTGGGCTCAGGTTTTGCTGCTGAGCTGAGTTCTACACTAGTTTCCAAGTCAGGCTGCTGGCGTGCTGCCGTGGCTAAGACTGGAGCGTTGTCCTCAGTGCTGGAGGTGGCCATAGCAGGACTGAGCCCTCGTCAGTGTTTGTGTGTGTGACAATGTGTGCATGTGTGTGACCAAGGAGACCAGCAGGGAGAGAAAAAAAGGGGAGAGAGGGGCAAGAAACACTCCCCCAGCCCTGCGCCTTTTCTTTAAACCCCCTGTCCCCTTCACGTAACTTAGTATACAGGTCTAACACTTTTCTTTTCTTCCAAACTGTTTGAGGCTTGAAGGATTTGCTGCTATGGCCTTGCACTGCAAAGATTCATGAGTCACTCCTTTACTACAACACAGGCCATGTCTTCTTTATCTGAAGGCCTGCAGACAGACAAACACAATCTCCAACTTTGACTGAGGCTCAGTCTGCTCTGAACAAATCCTCTGTAATCCTCACTGCAACTTCCATAGATTATATGGATAGATAGTCAAGGCCTATGATAAGAAAGATACCCCCCCACACACACACACACACACACACACCCTGTGCACACCACCATTGCATCAGCATGCACAGCTAACAAAATAAACCAGTCTTCCAGTTGGGTTCCATTGCACGTCGGTCCACGTCTGCCCTCCCTCGCCTTTCTCTGAATGAGACCTATGAGGGTTTGAGATTCCAGAGGTCGGAGTGAAGGGGAGCGGACGGCTGTATCGCAGCAGTGAGTGTGTGCTGTATGCGTGGAGGGGGAGCTTGCAACAATGCTTGGGAAGGAAAGGACACAAAAGTTCAAACTTCAATGAAACAAAATATACAGATCCTTTACTTAAGCAAAAGTATTAATACAATAATGAAAAATAAATTTCACTACAAATAAAAGTGCTGAAGAAAAAGTGCAAATGCATTATTAGAAAAATCTACTTAAAGTAGAAAAAGTATAAATACTTACTGTACAATGGCAAAGTGACTGAAATATTTGATTTGATTTGATTTGATTTATTCATTCTAGCATATAAAACAGTTTATATGTCAACACATATAATTTCACACATATCCAACAATAATAATCCAATATCAATTTACTTATACCTAGTACATGCTTGAACGAAGTAGGAAGAAGTTAGACTTATCTAGTCCTACCCCATGACATCATCTTACAACTTTTAAGTCCTAAGCAATATCTCTA